TGCCAAGATCCCAGGTTCAAGATCTGCAAAGAAGCTCCAGAAACAATCCAACATCACACAGCAGGGTGTAAGGTACTGGCAGGAAAGGAATACACCGAACGCCATATCCAAGTGGTTGGTAGTGTACTAAAACATAATGTGGAGTACGAACTGGGAGACCCCAAGGTGGTGGAAAATGACCGAGCTAAGATTCTGTGGGACTTCCAGATCCAGACAGACAAGATGGTAATGGCGAACCAACCGGACATTGTGGTGGTGGATAAAGAACAGAGGAAAGCCGTTGTGGTGGATGTCGCAATACCAAGTGACCACAACATCAGGAAAAAGGAGCATGAGAAACTGGAGAAATAAGGGCTCAGGGAAGAACTATGAGTGTGGCAGGTGAAGGCAACTGCAGTGCCATCTGAGCACTCAGACCAGTGGCCCCCATGCTGGAGAAGTTGCTCCAACAGATACCAGGAGAATCATCTGACATCTCAGTCCAGATAAAAGCAGTCCTAGGAACAGCAAGTATACTGTGAAAAAAACCCTCAAGCTCCCAGGCTTCTGGTAGAGGACCCCAGCATGAGATGAAGAGTCACCTACCCCACCCAGCTGAACAAGGGGTGGGTGGGAATATAATTATTATATATTATTTATATAAAAAATCATGTTTCCTGTGAGTAATGAAAGTTTTACACAAATTCCACTTGTTTTAAAGTGGCCAGAGTTGGGACTGCAGGCCGGTGAACACATTCTGTTGTTGCAAGGTTTGTCCACAAGAGGGTAGCAAAGCTCAAGAAATGCATAAAGTCAACCTCTAGGAAAAAAAAAAACATCTTCTACATTAAACATCTGCTGCAGGATCTCACCAAAAACAATTTGTTTAAAAAATTTTAAAAAAACATTTATTGAGTCATAATAATATATGTTATAACATATTACTCAGCAGCATCACATTAAAAAGCTAAAAAAAAGTTTCTCATATTTTTTGACAAAGATGAGATTACTTTTAGTCATATTAAATCGTATTGCACCACTTGAGTCCTGTATTACTTAGGTATCCACAAAGAGGATAAATTAAGTCATTTTCAACAACTTTACTATTTTGTTGTACCACCTGGAAAACTAAACCTTTGAGCAGCTGTCCTGCAAGAAGTTTCCAATAACTTGAATTCAATATGATTTTGTTGCAGCTTCCAGTTTCATAATAAGCAAATGTATTTACTGAAAGAGGAAAAGAGGTTGCCACAGTGACCCACACCCATCAAATAAAGGGCAAACGTGGTCACAGACTTGCTGGAGTGTGACGTGTGTGAGTGCGGAGCACAAAAGGAAGGAATTTTCCTTCCTAAACAAAAATGAAAGTAACAACCAAGTCGACGCTGAGGCAAAAACAAAAAAACAAAAAACAAAAAGGAAACATTTGTTTGGAATTGGAAGCATTTAAAACTGCAGATTATCATAGCCTGAGCATTTTCTTTACACGTCACACATGAAGATCAGATCTGTGCTGAAAATGGACCAGAAACCATCAAGATAACCCAGACATGAAACAAAAACAAACTGGGCAACAAACGCCTCAGTTGCAAGTCGCAACTGCTTCCTTGTTTGTTTGTATTTGAGCCATTTCTCAGCAATACATCCTGGTTTTTTTTAATGTTTCTGCAGATGCACAGCGTTTCTGTGAGGTGGCTGAATTCAGCCTTTCTGAGGCCGACTCTGAATGAAGAGCTGTCTGCTTGTCTGCGATGGACAGAGACGCCCCTGTGCCGCGCTGTGTGTTTTTCCTGTTTACTCTACGACGTGTACACGCACGGTGTGGCGGAGGTCAAGGGCGAGTTACAGAGGATGAGCCTTTCCTTCGCCCATCATTACATGTTCTTATGTCTACGGAGAGTTCCAGTTTGCTATTCAGGATTTAAAGGGCAGAGATTAAAGACGGGATTTTACTCGAAAAGGAATATCCAAAAGCTCAAAGGCCTCAGCACCACACTCTCACTCCAGCACAAGTTGCCTGTTTCTCAGAGTGCTCCACTTCCTAACAATTTCCAAACCAGGATAACCAAATATACACACACTTGACCTTTTAAGTTGTGGTTTCCTAGCAGGAAATTAACAATCTCCTTACTGTGATGCGGCAGTATTCACCCCTTTCTCTCATGTCGGTCATGTTTTCAGTGTCTTGACTCTAAATATGAACAATTGTTAGACAAAGGGACAACTGTTTAGATCTGTAGGAAGGAAGCATTATAGTGAGACAACTCAGACAAAAGCACAAAAACAATAATTAGTGTTGAGTTGTGGTTTGGTCAAAGCTTCAGGAACTGGCTTTTTTTTTTTTTTGTAATTGACAGTTTAATAAATCCTCTAAGGTGGGAAATCTAAAAGGAAAGTTATGCAGGTATATACATCTTTTTTTATATTATATGAGAAATAGCTCATAAATTATGCAAAATTTCACATTACAAGCCACTAAGCAATGTAAAAATCAATCTTGAAAGGTAAAACAGAGGCATTATATATTGAGGAGAAAAAAAACTTTATAAATCGCTGGCAGCTTTTGGAAAAACGTCTCTCTTCTTGTTCGCAGACATAAACAAACAGGCACAAACACATACACCTCGAAACAAAGGTGCCATTTTCCTCAGGAAGGGTCAGCAGTTCTCTTCATCAGACAGAGGCTTGTTCTTGGTCAGAAGCTGCTGCCCAATCTCAGGCCACCCTCCCCTGGCTTCACTGGCCCCCTCTGACCCCCTCACCACCCCTCCCTTCTCAGTTCCCCCCAACCACCACCCTGGAGACAAGCTCCCCATTGTTCCTGCACTACTAATAAATGACAGTTCCCCTGTTTAGACAAACTTTAGAGCCCATTCTAAACACACTCAAGCTGAGCTTAAATGGAGCTTTCTGTCCAAAGACACACAACAGCTTTATCCCCCCCCAACCTTTTTTTCCTTTTTAACAGTCTAATCTATTTTCATGAAAGTCTTCAAGGCTCCCATCTGTCACTGATGATGGAGGGAGATTTCCCAGAGACCTGAGCTTTCCACCTTCATGAGATATGAGGTCATATTTGATACAAAAGCGGAGTGTGGTTATAATGAGGCAAGCCGGCCTCCTTAAAGTGGTCAAAAAAGTCCACTTTTCTGTCACCGCACGAGCTCGATCAAAGTCCGGGGACCCGAGTTGGGCCCCCGGTTCAGACATGACAAATCACCACTCAACTTAAGGTCATAAACGCGCCATTAACACGCCCGGCCACAGCAACTCTATCTGTTTACCCAAAGCAGTGTGCTGAGGGACTATTGCTCTCTCTGTAGGCCTGCATTAGCATGCCTGGGGGGGCGATGAACATGTGCATCACTGGGGCCAACCGGCTCCAACTAAAGGCCACTTGATTGACTTTTAATACAACTTTTTTAAAATTAAAACAGACCATTAGAAACTCATTGTTTGACTTGGAGGCTTTTTAAGTAAAATCGTATTAATCAAGCATCATGAGAAGACTGAATGTACCAGAACCACTGCTCTAAAAGTAAAATCATAAAAAAATAAAGTGAAAATGCAAAAATAGAGAGTTTTGTATAATGAGAAACTTCCTAAAATATGGAGAGTACAAATGAGTAAAATAAGACCAGGGTTGTTGCGTTTTACCCTGCTGCGTATGTTTTTCTGCTGCGGTTCACCACAAGCGTATCGTGTGACAGCGCACACTGCGCTGGGAGAAAGTGAATTCCAGCTTTAGCGTTTCAAATATGGTCTCAAATATGCACAATTACACATAAAGGGGTGGGGGGGTGGACAAAATGCCCTCATGGAAACATAAATGGTTGCTCTGATGTCTGTTTTTGGGATCTGTGAGCGTCACGTGGGCCTGTTTCTTTAGGAAACGTCCAGGAGTCCATGAAGCGAGGCTGCAGGACAGATGCTGAGCGAGCAGAGGTCACATCAGCAGACATGTTCCCGCTCTGCCGTTTAAACAAGAAAAGGAGGAGGAGGAAGAAGAGGCTGAAGTTGTGAGAAGAAGAGTAAAAAAAAAAAAAAAAGCTGTGTGTTGTTTAGTCAAGGCCTACTCACTGACACAAAGTCTGCCTTTGTCTGCCTCCCAGGGTGCCAGATAAAGGAATTCTTGTGTGTCGGGGGGCTCTGACCGAGTTTATTTGACACTTCAGCTCCTTTTGTGAAGCAAGTGTCCCACCGTCAATGCTGGCCATGAGAGTCACTTGGCTCAAGACAGAGGGTCCCTCTTCAGTGGAGAAAGGGGGTCTTGTTTGGAGAAGATTTTTTTTTAATACAGGGGGTGTGTATTGTGGGGGTGGTGTGCATATAGTAGGGCTCTATGCTGTGCCTGATAGTCAGATGAGACTCTTTATTGTAGATGAAAATGTTCAAGACTGGAAGAGTTAGGTGAAAGGTGCACACACCTCTAACACAGGAGCATTATGTCTCCAAAATTACCAACTCAAGAAAAAAAAAACATGCACCTGTAAGGTTTTATTTTAACGGAGCCTTAAAGCCAGCATGGATTTGACACTTCATGAGTCAGGAGCAGAGAGATTGACAGGGGCTTCTCAGGACAGACCCCCTCCCTGTCACCTGAATGGACTCACTGTATGGAGAAGTGACCACTGGAGTTTCTGACAGAACCTCTGCTCTGTGAGAAAGCTTTGCTCTGCAGGTGCAGGAGTCCAACTTATTCAAATGAATAAATAAATAAAAAGAAAAACAGGTTGAGCGGACATGGTCAGACAAAAATAGTGACATCAAGTCCAGAATTAACGATTCGAACGGAACAACTTTCTGACTTGGAGCAGTTGGACCTGAATGTGTCTGACTGTGCTGGTCCCAGGCGAGGATTTAACTGCAACTCAGTTTGAAGATACTGGCAAGATGGGTGTGTTAGGGGAGATAAGGACAAAACCTTTGACCAAAACAGACAGTGAGGAACTTCAGAAAATGCATCATTAAATTATTAAAAATAAACTTTCATTAAGAAAGAAAACAAATCATATAATTACCTGTTTGTTCAAGAGAATCTTATTATCCAAATCACTGAAGCATCTTGATAGCATCTTTTAAAAATATATTCCAGGATATGGGTGATGTTTCCTTGTGACATGGGGAGGAATCATAAATTATACACATGATATGAATTTCCACACAGATCATCCCTGCTGACCACGCGTGGATCCCAAAATATCCCGGGAGACTCATCCAGCTTGTCCAGCAGCAGGACAGAAGAACCAGTCCCCCCCTGTAGTTCAATCATGTTTACATCCAAGAAGACCCGCTGTTTTTAATCCACCAGCTGTTGTCCTGATCGTCAGATTTCTTTTGACAAACTTCTCCGCACGTGTCAGCGCCGCTGTCTTATTATAAGGGCTGCGTGATCCTCAGAAATAAATCCTTGCGGGGGATGAATGGAACGGAAGGAACGGATCGATCGCGGGGATTGTTTCCGACCTCAGCAGAGGCTGCTCGTGTCCTAAAGAGAGTCCGGTGCTGTGAGGTGATGGTGACCCGCCGCGGCAGCGATCCTCCCCTGCAGAGAGCCGCAGCCTCACTGAGCCATGGTTGGAGCGGAGCGCTCAGACACACGCCGCTTGCAGAGAGACGTAGGCGCGCGAGGCATCATGGGAAGTGAAGTCCAGTTTCTTTGTGCGCTATTTAGATTCAGGATATATAAAGAGTGGATTCCAAACATTAGAATATTAGAAGAAATGTTCACTAGTGACAAGAGGGGTGCAACTATAAAAATATATTTATAAATTAAAATAGTCATCACTTTTGTAAAACATCACTTTTTAACACTTACATGCATTTCATTAAGATGTCCTTATCACCCAATACCAAAGACAAAATGTGTGTGTGTGTTTGTTTGTTAGCAAAATATCTCACCAACAAATTCTAACGCAGCTCCTATGAAGTCATTGGTTCTAAGAAACTTTTAGATTCACCTTCACCCAATCTTAACAAACAGAAAAATCTCTATAACTTCATCAGTTTTGCAGAAATTAAGCTAAATTTGATGTTTCCTTTTCAAAGATTCACTTCCAAATCATAATGTAATTGTGCATGATGTTATTCAGCAAAGCTGATTAAAATGGCTTACATTCATAGTGCAAAACCTTGACATGAGTGGCAAGCAATATGCATTTAATTTCTTTCAATATTTTATCTAAATATGCATTTGATGTCAAGGAAATCCCTTTTAGTTTCAATTATTTGCTAAAGTTGGCAAAACAACTGCATGTTGCTGACAGTCAGTAAGTCATTATGTCAAAAATAGAACGTATTATATTCTTGTTGCAACTGCTTATGACTTGTTGGATGGATTCCAGGTTGCGTGTGAGCAGTGTGTGAGCGGTGTGTGTGAGTAATAATGATCATCTGTGCAGAGATACAGAGATACTTTGAATCACCTTCCAATGAATGAATCTCTTGTCTTTCTTACCTCACTTTCATGCCCTAACCACCTCCAGGCTTGCTCGTATAGGATCATAACATCCCTTGAACTTAAAAAAGGGGGGATGGATCTCATGGAGTGGAGTGCAAAGTAAAAAGAAGAAACAAATCAAGTGTTGTCTGCAGTGCAGAGTGGCAAATTGAGATGGTCAGCTTGGAAAGTGAAAATATCTTTAGAAAAAAAACTAATCAATTACATCCACTATATTTATATTACACAAAAAAGAATAAAAGTATCGCAAATTCAAGGTGGGAAGCTGAGATTAAACGTAGCTAAAAAAAAACTGTAAACACTAATTTTAACAAAGGCTTCAAATATTAAAAAAAATCAATTTTTCCATAAACGTTTTTGCCTTTAGGGTTAAATCTGTCCCAAAAATCTAATATTTCCCCAGCTGACAGGTTACATCTGCACCTGAGCAGGTGAAGCTCCATTCCGGCTTTTCCTTTAATCTTTTGGCGGCGCTCCAGTGGAGTCCAGAAGTACCTGAATTGCACGCGATTCTGTCAATTGCAGGTACTTGATAGCTTTCTTGTGTGCAGAGGTTGAAAAGTTGCAGAGGTCTGCGAGCATGGCATTGCGTGACTAGAGCTGGAGATGAAAACACAAAGACATTGTTTTCAGTGATCAAACCCCCTTTATAGTAACTCAACAGCATTCCTGTCTCGCATTCCTGAACCACCGCTGCTGTGTGAAGGGTTTTCTTTTCCTTTAGAGAGGAAAAAATGATAGAAAGAAAAAAAAATGGGGGTTTACATTTTGTCTGGTTCACTGTGTTGACTTCACTCTTTTTCACAGAATTTCTCACTTTTTTTGTTATTATGAATCAAATGAATTAACAGAGGTGCTTATCTTACAAGTAGGAAGTGGACAAAACTATTTGATGAATGCAAATAATTTCACCAGAAGCTCCCTCTGCCTTCACGCTCAGCAATCAGTCGGCTTCAGAACAAAGGCTAATGTAAATATAATGTCTGCAGGCGCACCAATGAGTGTGCACCCACTCGTACCAGTATGTTGGTATGCGGTAATGTGCACACAAATGTTTTCCAGATTGGTGTGACGAGGGTAATCATATCCAGAGTGAAAAAAAAAATCATTCTGAAGGCTGCTTCAGCAGATGGGAGGCAAGCATCAGGCAATCCAGGGAAAATGAGGTGGATTGACTGTAAAGAGGCTTTGGATGACTTCTAAACAACATTTTCACAGCCTTTCCACGATTAGACATCTGGAAAATCTATAAAACGTGGAAATCCTGATGGTGGTGAAACAAATCTAATATTTACCAGAAGCAACAGTCTTGGCTTTAAAGTCAGAGGACAATTGAGTCAGTCATATCTCCAGTACGAGCTCTGAAAGTGATTAAGACTGGAGTGAATTCGTTACTACCCCAGCTCAGACAGAGAGGGGCTTCAGAGCAGAGCCCTTGTGTTGGACTGTTTGGATGTCCTATTCCCTTGTATCTCTTTGATTACCTCCAACACAAGGCTCCATTCAACCCGAGTGGGAACAAATGTTTCCTTATGTGGCTCTGAGTGCACAAGCTTCAGCGACAGGATAGAAAACAAGAGGCTGTGAGACCAAAAAAAGAGTCAAAGGGTTGCATTAGTGCAGGACTTACTGCCACTCAGGCCATCTTAAAATGTAATATGGGATGGATTATCATGGCTGTGATGTCACCAAAAGGGTGCTTTTCAATCAATGCCTGCTGTGTTTCTACGGTTTAGCATAAACCCCACTTTCATTATTTTCATCACTTTCACATTCATTTGGTAATAATTTTGTTAAACAACAACCAGGAAACTTGAATTTGGATTCCAGGTTGGCAGCTGATGTAGCTTCGTGTTTGGCCTCCATCTGTTTTTTTTCCCTTGTTTTTTTTTTCTTGGCCTTCCTGTGAGAAAGTCTAAATGAAGCTCAGCCTGGGTCAAGGCAAGTTTTCAAAGTGATGTGGGTGAAGATTTCTTATGTGAGAACTGGTTAGAAAAAGGCTTGTGCCTGTTTTACACAGTGAGACAGAATGTGCCGTGCATCTCTTTTCTATGGAAGCACATAGGATAAAGAGCTAATCCTCTTGTGCTATGAAACTCATAGGGTTGGATTCCTTCCAGCACCTCAGGGTGCATTGGATCTGGAGAAGAGAGGACTTTTCAAAGAAAACCTTGAAAATGAACAAGGCAACCTGTTTCCAACTACTCAATGAATGACGCTAATCATAAAACTTTGGTAAATTAACTTCCCCTCTTCCAAGTCGTCTCTCTTTACTTCTTGCTCAGTGCAATACTAAAATTGTTATTCTATTTTTTACTCAAACAAGCTTTTCCTTTTTAGCATGGAGGAGCTGAGCTGTAACCCTGAATTGTTTATGACTATTTCTTGTGGCTTTATGTGGGTAAACACATCTTTCATTGGGTGATAGAGTGGACTGACAAAATAATATATGAAATGACAATAAAATAATTCAGACCTGTAACGCTGAGCTTGTGTCTATAATGGGCTTATAATAACTAACTGTGGTTTGCAACCAAGTGTGAAGTGGCCAGGATGAGGATCGGTGCTTCCAAATCTGAGATCATGGTCTTGAGCCAGTAAAGCATAGAGTGAATTCTCCGGGTCGGGGAGGAGGTCCTGCCCCAAGTGGAGGAGTTTAAGGATCTCATGGTCTTGTTCACAAATGAGGGAAGAATGGAGCAGGAGATCGACAGGCAGATTGGTGCTGCATCAGAGGTGATGCAGGCTCTCCATCGATCAGTTGTGGTTAAGAGCTGAGCCAGAAGGCAAAGTTTACTGGTTTACTGGTCGGCCTACGTTACAACCCTCATCTATGGTCACGAGCTTTGGGTAGTGACCGAAAAAATGAGATCGCTGATACAAGCGGCCAAAATGAGTTTCCTTCGCAGGGTGTCTGGGCTCTCCCTTAGAGAAAGGGTGAGAAGCTCGGTCATCCTGGAGGGACTCAGAGTAGAGCCGCTGCTCCTCCACGTTGAGAGGAGCCAGTTGAGGTGGCTCGGGCATCTGGTTAGGAAGCCTCCTGGACGCCTCCCTGGTGAGGTGTTCCGGGCATGTCCCACTGGGAGGAGACCCAGAGGAAGGCCCAGGACACGCTGGAGGGACTATGTTTCTCAGCTGGCCTGGGAACGCCTTGGGATTCCCCCAGAGGAGCTGGTCCAAGTGGCTGGGGAGAGGGAAGTCTGGGTCTTTCTGCTTAGGCTGCTGCCCCCGAGACCCGACCCCGGATAAGTGGAGTGGTTGATAAACAATCAAGTTGCAAAAGCATCAAAAATGCTTATTGAAAAATATATACTGAATGTACAGTGAAACCCCGATTGCCACAGGGTTACTTTCTTAGGGTTCCCCCGAATTGTGAAAAAAAACATAAATACTGGATGCAATCCAGCAAAGGAAAAAAATACACGAGAGCTAAACAGTTAGCAGCTACACACCCCTTTGTACTGTTTGAAGGTGGAAATCAATGAATTTCTGTTAATATTTATGTTATAGCATTAGTAAATTATATTGTTCTTAATAAATTAGCTTGAAAACTCATGAAAAGGCAGGAAAAAATATTTTTCTTACTGTACTGTATTTCCAGTTTCCATAATATCAAAGGGACTAATAGTCAGGGTCTATGAAAAAAATCTGTTAAAGACTGAGTCCGCAAACTGTGAACAGCTACTATGCTAACCACTGTACAGTAATAAAAACAAAGGACAGACTTGATTTTCCTTCTGCTCAAATGCTCAAATATTCAAATTTGATCAGTTTCAAAGTATGTAAATTTACAGTTTTTATACATCAGCACAAATTCTGCCTAAATTCTTGATATTGTGGCAGCATGGCAGAGAAGTGGTTAGAGCTGTTGCCTCTCAGTAAAACAAGCACAAGATTGCCTCCAGCCTGGGGCCTTTCAGGGTGGAGTTTGCATATTTTTCCCCCCCGTGCATGTGTGGGTTTTCTCCTAGTACACAGGAGAAAAGCGGAGAAAATCAAAGCCTGTACCTGAAACGATGAAGTGTTTTTGGAGCGCTCTTAAGGTGACATCAGCATTCCTCGTGGATTCAATCAGAGTTTTAATTCGGGAGAACAAAAGAAACAACCTTGATAAAGATTTGCAGAG